GTGTTTTATGCATGATTTGCACTGATGCAGACAGCAGTGCACTTAGGAGCGAGGGAGCAGCTTGGCGAGCTGGTGCTTAGTGCATCCCCACTCCGAACTGAAAGCGCTTGACTCTATAACCTGTCCCTCTGCGAGAATGAACAACCTTCCTGAACACATGTTGAAGTCATTATGATCATAACGCAATTGCAAATGATTTTTTGGTAGGCTATGTTTATACGATGATAATCTTTAAGGGGGAAAGGAGAGAGGGCATTGGACCAAGCTTATGAACAGGCTCATGTTTCCGGATCCTACGGAAACCACTCGTACTCCCCTGAGCACCCTTGCCATTTCCATCGCTGGATCTGAACCAGCTGCAAGATCAATGAATGAGGAGGGCCACAACATGTGACCTGCCTAAATCCCTAGGGACAGGGCTTAGAGCTCGCCGGGAAGCAGGCACGGTGCTGCAGACCGGGCTGCACTGCACTCAAAGTGCCTTCACTGCAAAACGTGGCTTAGTAGAGCTCCTATCTGTGGCACCTCTTGGCCAAATATTCCGGATCTTCCTTATGTAAAACTACTCTGACAGCCTCTTGAGAGGAGAAGTTCCTGGAGAGTCGTGAGTTTTTGCTTTGGGTGTGAACACAGGGATGCAGGGAGCATCCTACGCAGTGCAAAGCCGGGCAGGACTTACCTTGATTGGAGAGTACCACTTCCGAGGAGAGGAGGGCCTGCGCATGTTGTTCCCAAGATTCCTGGGCTCGGGGAACTCGTATTCCTGCTCTGGCATCTTGACTCGGGCGTTCTTGGCTTTCTCCAGCTTAGCACCTTCTTCCGTGGAGCCCTTTTCACCCCAGCGCACCTGCAAACGGCAGCGTCAGGGCATTATATATATATAAAGGCTGCCCAGAGAGGTTGTGGAGTCTCCTTCTCTGGAGATCTTCAAACCCGCTTGGACGCAGTCCTGTGCCACGTGCTCTAGGTGACCCTGCGTGTGCAGGGGGGTTGGATGAGATGACCTCTAGAAGTCCCTTCCAACCTTAAGCATTCTATGATTCTATGATTATAAGATAACTTGGTTTCCTGCTATAACTGGATCCCAGCCTGCATTTTCCTATGGTCTAGATCCCAGGTGAAGAGTGGGGCTCTTTCTAGCCCAGATCCCAAACCCTGGTCATTTCCTTCTTTGTGGTCAAGGAGAAATGTGTAAGTGGAGGAGCCTTTTGGAAAAAAATTGTAAAAATACTTGTAATTTGTACTGCAACAATGCCCAGATATCCCTAACACAGACCAGGATCCTGCTGCACTGGCAGAAGAAGGTCTGAAACCTAAGGAGTCTATGCTTGGCTCTCAAATCTTCCTATATAAAACAAATTTTGGCTCAGATGTACAGGAGAGCCTAAAGAAGTTTGTGCCTGTCCCCTGTGTCTCTTTTTGGGTAAATTGCAGGTGGGTATCATGGCTCAGTTTACACAGGAGTCTTTCTGACCCACGTGCTGGTGAGCATTTACCTCCATCCGCTTGATGCCACCAACTCCTCGGCCACCATAGTAAGAAGCATCTACTGTTGGCCACTTCTTCTTTGGAAGGCCGTCATCGTCTTCCTCCTGCAGAAGAGCAGGTTGCACTGTTAGGAAGCATGGGCAAAGGCAATAAGGGATAAAGAGTCACAGCTCACGTGGTCCTCGGAGCCTGCTAGGCCAGTAAGGGCTCTGCTCTCTCGCTGGTTGTTTTCCAGGGGTTGTACACTCATGAAAAGAAAATGCTGCATGATATAAACAAACCACCACTTGAAAGGTGCAGTCCAGCTCCAGCAAGAAAGTGTGTTGGCCTCTTAAAGAAGAGACTGTCTTTCATCATCTTTAAATTCAAAAGAAATTGTTTCCAAGTTGCAAAATCAGAGAAGCAGCAGCCAAAACAGCCCTGAGCACAGCTCAAGAGCTGGGGTCTTGGGGCTGCAAGGCCCGTGGCTCTTCTAGCACGAGTGATGGTGGCAGGGACCCTTTGCCATCCTCTCCCTCCCCATTGCTTGAGATTAGGAGGGAAGAGCTGTTGCTGTAATGGGTGTTTATTGAATCCCAGCTCCCCATGCTGGAGGAATCATCCAGGACCCTCCGAAATCCCCGTATTGTCCTTGGGGTTTGACAGAACGTAGGGAAAAGCCGGAGAGCAAAGGGGTGAGTTGTTGGAAATACCCCCTGACGTGCAGGTGAACTGCCCCAGGGTGAGGGAACAACACGGAAAGGAGCTTTGCCAGGGGAGGTGACAGGTCTAATGGGGACAGAACAGTCTAACAGCAAAGTTAGACAATTAGCTCTCATAATAAACTTCTGCCCCCGATGGCGAGGAAAAGCTATTGGCTTTTTTGAGCTCACGCCTGCAGAGAAGTCTGGATTTAAATATCTTTTAAATGACATCTAAATTCTGTAAAAAATTGAATATGGTTTATGTACAGCAGGTAGAAATCTGTGGGACGTTACATAAGCTCAAGCATATCCAGGATCTTGACCTTCATGATGGCATTCGGATATCTCCCAATTAATTAAATCAAGGAAGTATCCCTGAGTTTATTCCAAATGGGCCTGGCTAAGGTGCTAGAGAATATATCCTATAAAACTTTGCACTGATCCCAGTCCTGAGTGATATAGTTCCTTCCTAATTGCTACAGTTCAGGCTGTGAACTGGCAAAGCAGAAAAGCAGAATTCATAGGAAACATGAAGTATTTCCTGTGAAAAAATGTGGAGAGAAATGAAAAATGGTCTCTCTCTTATTTTCTTTCTTTTATTTTTCACAGGGATTTGGCCAAACTCCAAAACTTAGTAGCTTCCCCAAATTGGAAAAGCCCAAAATACTTTGAAATTGAACTCCCTGGTAGGAAAACTGAAAGACTGGGGAGGGAGAAAAAAATCCAAGTCGAACTATACTGTCCATGTCAAACAGGACCATTTTTGTAAAAAAAAAAACAAACAAACACAAAAGCTTCCATGAATTTGGCTGCAAAACTTGTCCCGATTTAAAGGAAAAGTGAACAATTGAGTCATAAATACAGTGTTTTTTTCCTTCCTAGCTGACCTCTCTTTTTCTTTCTCTGCTTTTCTTTCTCTTTGCTGCAACCTAAGAACTTAATATCTCTGCATGAAGTTTTCCATGAGGACTTTTTTTAAAAAAGAAGAACTGGAATCAAAGCCATCTAAATATTTTCCTTCAGCAATTCTCTTTCTTCAGCTCAGCATAGACTGGACTTCTCACAACAGGAAATGCCAGGGTTTAGGAAATCTTCCCCACAAGCCCTTAAAAGCCCTGCAAGTCACTTCAAGCTAAGATAGGAGTTCATCTGCCAGACAAACAACAGAAACACGCACCAAAAAGCATCGGTGGACGCTGGAAAAACAAGGCAGTCACAAGCTTTCTTCGGGACGAGGCTGTTTACGTGTTTTGAAGGGCACGGGAGGTTTTGCAATACAAGCAAGAAAAACACCAGGGCTGGCCCACGCGCTTGGCAAACGGGCTAACGGCACACGTGAGCGGTTAAAGGAATTGGAAATGTGGGGTCAGGGTGGGGAGAGAAGGAGATGGGGAAGGGGAAGGAGAAGGAGAAGAAGGAGGAGAAGGAGAAGGAGAAGGAGAAGGAGAAG